CGAGAAGAAGGTCGAGGGGCTTCGAGAACGAGAACGAAAACCCCTTCGAGAAGAAGGCCGAAAAGGCTCAAGAAGGAAACTGAGGGACTGCGAGAAGGGCTTGAGAGGACAGTCCAAGATTGCACGGACCTCCAGCGCAAGGCAGGTGCGCTCGAGAAGAAGCTGAAAAAGACGAAGGCCGCCTTCAAGCAACTGAAGCGGGGATGCAATGGGGGACTCCAGGCGATGGAGGAGACCCTCAACGAGTAGTAAGTAGCACGAGAGGAGAGCGCATCCATTTATGTGTATAAAAAGAGGGGGTGTGTACATAAAAATGAATATAGTGTTTAGGTCAAGATGCCCATGAACGGCAGGGGCATGTGCATGTGCAGCGATAAAATGGCCGAATAAATAATAAAAATAAATAAATAAATTTACTCAAGAGTAAATGAGTTACGTCTCGTCGATGGAACGCTTCCACAATTGTTTTAACTATTTATTTTCCTTCAGAAAAATAAATAAATAGTTAAAACAGCCCCAGAAAGTTGTCCTTTTTTCTCTTTCTTGTTGGTTTGCATTGTGTAGTGCAGTATACCTTGTCTGCCCCGTTGGCATGGAGAGGGATTTCAATGATGAGCTGGATGCTCTCTGTGCCCAGGTCCAAAGCTTGGCCAACAGTTTTGCCCACCTCTCCAATTAGTGGTCATCAGATGAAGAAGAGAAGGAGGAGGACATTGTTCCCATACAACCAACCCCTGCATCTTCTTGACCTTCTGCTGGACCCACACCACACCCCTTCGCCCCCTGCATCCAGGCTCCCATTGAGGTGTACATACCAACAAAAAGATTTGCAGGGTGTACAACTTCAATTGCTGGAAATGATTAAAGACAATCTTTGTGCTCCTCAATGGAGGAGCCCAGAGGGCTTGTTTCTTTATTGGAGACGCTTATTAGCAATGCCCACAGTGGTCCAGACAGCCATGTTGTGCTGGCTTTTGTCCTCATGCCATGCCATCCTCAGCACATCAAAGATGCTGATGATGTGGCCAAAGCCATTCTCAATGCAGGCATGGGCTGAGGCTAGCTCCCTGTTGTGCATCTCTTGCTCCTGAGTGAGAGTTGTGGCGCCCTCAAGGCTTGTGGAGCGACCCCTGGGGTGTGAGATGGTGGTGATGACTCTGATGCTGTTAAATCCCATCTGGCCATATGAGAAATGGTTGTTGGTGAGGATGATGGCGCCCTGGAGCTTGTCCTCAATGAACTGACCCTGAATCTTCAGGAAGTCACCATCATAGATCTCACTCACATCTTTTATTGTATGCTCCTTGAACAAAAAGCTGGGCAAAGCATAGTGTACGCTTTCCAGTCATTTTCATTGGTATGCACACCTCATTGAGACTCCAACCCCACCCACCTATGAAACTCTGCACAATGGCCCCAATATTTGATGCCAGAGGCAGTGGTGTGATCATTGAGGATCTCCTCAATCTCCTTATGTTCCCTGTCCAGATCCTGGTTGCTCGCCGCTCCCTCCATTGCTTCCCTGTCTGGCTGGTCACTAGCTTCATTATCAGTCTCATCTCCCACCCATGGCTTCAGTTGAGAGATGTGCACAAACTGCCAGTCATAAGGATTGTGTATGCTCTGAAGGCCATATGTCACTGAACTGTGCACTTTGATGACATGATACAGGCCACACCAAGGTCATGGTAGCTTCTTGCTCCACTTGTTCTGCACATGCAGCCAATGCAGCCACACTTTCTCTCCCAGCACAAACTGATGATCCACTCAACCCCAATTGTAGTTCACACAGTTCTTCACCTGTGCATCCACCTGTGACTCTTGAGCAATACAGAATGCCTGTGCCAGACACACAACCAGATTGCTCCAATAGTCCTCCAGCAAGCTCCCATGGTCACAATGCAGTAGTCCCAGAGCCATGTTGATGGGCAAGTAGTGGTTGTGCCCATATACCATGTAGAATGGTGTCTCCCTGGTCAACTCATGGACAGTGGACCAATACACTGCCAGCACATAAGGGAGGTATGAGTCCCAGTCCTTCTGGTCATCTGCAACATACATACTGAGCATGTTCTGCAGAGTGCTGTTGAACCACTCAACCAGCCTGTCAGTCTGGGGATGGTAGGCCAACATAGTCAACTTGTGCAAGTGCAGGTCCTCATTGACACCCCAGAGCACATCAAATTCAAGAACTCCCAACCCAGTCCAACAGCACACATTCTGGCGCCCCATGGACACATACCAGGTGCTCCATGAACGCCCTTGCCACAGTCTTGGCGTGCTTGTCTGGCAGGGCAACAGCAATTGGCCACTTCATCAGGTAGTCAACAATGATGCAGATCCAGTTGACCTGCACACTGCAGCTGACCTCCCTCTGGTGCAGCAAAGGTCCCCACAGCTTTGTTTGATCCAACCTTGACACCCACTCAGTCCTCCCCTACCAAGGAGCACCAGTTGTCACCCAGCTTGGGTCACTCCAGACTTGCTGCATCTGCAAGCAGACTGGCTCTGAAGGCGAGCTGGAGATCTGCCTTGACCCACACTGCAGAAATGACTTCCACCAGGACTGCAGTTTCAACCCCGCCAAGCAACTTTGCTCAGAGAAATGCCAGCTTCTTTTGTAGGTTAAGGGTCCAGTAGGCTTTTATTTATAAAAAAATTGAGAACCAAGGCTGCCCTCCCACTAGATCGTGATTCGAAGTATGCAGAAGCAATGGGTTGCTGACCACTGGAATCTTCAGTATGTGAAGGCATTCAGTAAAAACATAAAATTGACTGTAAAGTTTTCTTGGTAGTACAATTTGCCTTGGCACAGGTGGGTTCACTGTCACCATCAAATGCCAGAGAGAGCACTGCAACTTCGACTGCACAGTTGCAAGCACTTCTCCCCTGTGGCCAAATTGCCATTGATGGACTGCTACTGCCTGGCTCATGATTGCCTGGGGCATTCATGGACTTGGGTATGAATGCCTGGAGTCTGTGTGGACCCTTGCAGGGGTATACCCCCAATTAGTAAAAAAGGCTATGCCAAGATGATGGACTGTGGTACCCCACCCTTACCTTTGTCCCCCTGTGGCAGAGCCCCTGTTCTGCCAGCTGCCAGAGTTCACCTCCATCCACCTGGGAAAACCTGAAGGGAAATGGGATTTTCCTGGTGAGTTATCGCCAGAGATAACTCCCATATATATGACATTACCAAGGGGTAATAAAAGGGACTTCTTCTGATTAGACAAGGACAGGACCTCCCTGAGGCCCATCTACCTGAGACCCAGTTGGTCTATTCCTCCCACACTCCTACACCCCCCCTCTGTTTATCCATCCCTCAATGTTACTGGTAGCAGTGAGTCTGAGTTGGTGTTGAACACACAAAAAAGCGCATACCTGTGATCAGCTTTGCCTGCTGCTTGAGCTTCTTGCACCTCTGGTTAGCCTGGATAGTGTGCTTGCATGAATCTTGTTTGTGACATTGTTGCACCATGTGGAGCCAGCGAGCTTCCTCCTCCCAATTGATTTTGAAGCCCAAATGATGGTAGACATTAAGTAGAGATTGGCTACCTGATTTTGTGGTGTGAGTTTGTGCCCATCTCTCAAGAAAGTAGAAAGGATATCATGCCTTCATTGCACTCAAGGATGCCAGCATCAAACAATGGGCCATACATGACAGACCAGTTGCATTCCTTATCTACACACTTACAGGCTGAGCCATTCAGTGACTCCAGCTGAATGGTACTGAACCTGTGTAGATATTGCTGCTGATCAGCAAGGTACCCCTTGATGAATTTGGTGAGTACCTGAACTGCAGCCAGGTTCTCCACTCAGTCCAGCCTTGGAGATGCCTTTGGAGGTTGTGGGGCATGAAGACACAAGGAGTGACATTCATCTGTGTGATGAGGAACAAACCTGCGCATGTGCGCACAGAAGCCCTCCTCATTCCTTGAGTACAATCACACACCTGCAGTAACATGAAGTCAGACTGATGGTCAAGCACACAGCAACAACAAACACTCACCTCTACCAACAAGGAAGTGGGTTTTGAGTGAAGCACCCAGGTCTGCCAAGGCCAGGTAGTCCTTGACCAAGTGCTCAAAGTGTTTCTCAATTCGGCGTAGTGGTTTGGGTTGTGGTGTGTGATTACATCCTTCCCAAACTGCTGTTCCATGATCTTGTGTATAGCAGAGTCACCATCAGCAGTAACTGCAGTGAGCACTGCGCCACTGGCCTATGTGTTGTGTTTGTAGTGTTGAATTGTGGATTGTGTGATGTATTGAGAAGAGCAATCAGTGTTTGCACACAACACACACCAGAAACTTGATGCATGCGCACCTGAAGGTGTGGGACCCTGATGCTGTATCCTTAAGTAGATGGCAACAACCTACTATTCCTCCTTCCTTGTGATCTATACCACAGCACACTAAACAGTTGAGTGATTGTGATAGCCTAATGAAAAGAAAGATGCATACCAGCATTGGCATTTCAAGCCTGTTCCCCCAAGCATGTCTACAAGTGCATTTGAAAAACAAGAACATAACAACAAGATCATGAAGCAATCAGCTGAATTGAGTGTGTTGGTGAGATTAATCAATAGAATAATAAATACAAGATTTCCTTTTGTTCTTGTGGAAGGTTTCTCAGGTGCAAGGAACAACATGAAATTTGAGAGAAACAGAGTTTGAGTGACACCCTAACAAAGTTTCTTTTGCTAAGGATTGAACTGGACAAAAATATATATCCAACCAAAAAATATATTGTGGCAGAGCCCCTGTTCTGCCAGCTGCCAGAGTTCGCCTCCATCCTCCTGGGAAAACCCAAGGGAAAATGGGATTTTCCTGGTGAGTTATCTCAGGTGATAACTCCTGTATATGATATGTTACCAAGAGGTAATAAAGGGACTTCTTCTGATTAGACAAGGACAAGACCTCCCTGAGGCCCATCTACCTGAGATCCAGCTGGTCTATTCCTCCCACACTCCTACATTTGGTGACAACGGCAGGATTGTCTTCATATTAGAATGGGTTCAAGTCTGCCCTCAATGCCAGGTGCAACAAGACAAAGCCAGACCAACATTGGGACCACTACAGCTGATTCAAACATTGCAACCATGGGAGAAGGTGGGATTGGACCTGATCAGTCCTCTGCCCAAGACGTCAAGAGGAAACTCCTATGCCATGGTCATGCAAGACCTCTTCTCCAAGTGGCCCAAAGTGTTCCTGATACCAGATGTGACTGTGAAGATGGTTGCAGAAGCCATTCTTGACCTGATAGGGAGGTGGGGACCTCCCAAAATGATCATGAGCAATCAAGGAAGAGAATTCGTGGCTGAGCTTCTCCAAGAGCTGGCCAGACAACTTGGCAACAAGAGGAGCTTCTCCACGCAAGGGCACCTGCAGACAAATGGGCAAGTCAAGTGCTTCAATTGGACCCTCAAGTTGATGATGGCTCAATATGCCAACATGAAACAGGACAACTGGGACATCTACATGCCACTAGTGCTGTATGCATACCACACAATCCCCCAGAAGTTGATGGGCACAAGCCCATATCAGGTCCTGTTCAGGCGACTAGCTCCTCTGCTTGAGGGGAGTCATAAACAGTCCAATGACACAAAGTCATTGGATGAGTGGATTGCTGAGCTATGAGCTTCTCAACAAATCATCCACAACAAGGTGGCCAGGGCACAGGACTGTGCAAAGAATGAAATGGTCCTGCAGCACAACAAGAGGAAAGAGGGCAGCTACACACCAGGTGAACACATGCTGGTCAGGCAGGCCTCAAAGGGCCATGCAAGGAAACTGGCAAAGAAGTGGACAGGTCCATTTGACATCATCCAACAAGTCTCCCCTCAAGTCATTCTGCTACATCACCCAAAAGGCCACAACTTCAAGCTCAACATGGAGCGCCTGAAGCCATATCACAAGAAGCATGATGACAAGGAGAAGGGATCAAAGCAGTTGAGTCCCTCTCCTGAAGCAGAGGAGGAGGAATATGAGGTCAAAGCAATTGTCAACCATTGTGACCAGAAGAACAGCCATGAGTACAAGGTGCACTGGGTCAGCTATACTGCACAAGATGACTTGTGAGTAGTGGCTGCTGACGTCCAGGCCAATTGACTCATCCAGGACTACCTTGACAGCCACAGGCTGTGAGGCAGAACTGCAACAGTTCCATCTTAGTCAGGGGGTATGTGGCAGAGCCCCTGTTCTGCCAGCTGCCAGAGTTCACCTCCATCCTCCTGGGAAAACCCAAGGGAAAATGGGATTTTCCCAGTGAGTTATGTCAGGTGATAACTCCCATATATAATACATTACCAAGAGGTAATAAAGGGACTTCTTCTGATTAGACAAGGACAGGACCTCCCTGAGGCCCATCTACCTGAGATCCAGCTGGTCTATTCCTCCCACACTCCTACAATATATCCAGACACTCACTTTTGTAGTGTACACATACATGACAGAATGTCCTGCAGTTTCATAGCATAATGGGCTTTGAAAATAGCATATATATGCAATGGGGCAGTA